GGGAGCTTTTAGTTGGATTCAAACAGCGTCTAACAGGAATAATGCTGTATATTTCTGCTCTTTCTGAGTGTTTCTAACTAAAACAAGCTGTGTATTTTAGATTTCGTGGGTGAACTGTCTCTTTAAAACTGGAGTCAGTGCTCGTATATGGATGAAACTGAGTCCAAATGCAGCGTTCGCTTCCAACCAAAGTCTCTTTACAGCTTCGCACAATCAGAAAGAAATCACTCTGCTTTCATTGTTTGGATCCGATGATACTGTACATCATCATTCCTGTTCCTATTTAACTGTAGATATAAGCTAATTACACATCTGTGGAGATAGGAGTTAGCTGTGTGTTCTCCAGCAATACGTGAAGGATGTGAACAGATAAGACTACGATCCCCCTGTGTGACTGTGTTTGGCACAACGGAGCCAACGCTGATCTGAAGAACGATAGAAGCTTTCGCCGCTAATCCCTTTTCCAGGTGAGATGAGATAAAACCGGAGAAAAAAAACAAAACGCACAACAAACTGTCATTGTTCTCCTCAGCTCGGGGTTAAGACGCCGAGCTCTGGCGGAAAAAATACTGTTTTTGTTCCAGCGGGAAGCACCAGGCGAGCCAATCAGGAGCCAGGAGTTTGTTTGACACGCCTGAGCGGCGAGAGTCAGCCACTCCGGGTCCACGCCGCCTCTGGCTTCAGGTTGGTGCAGTGTCATTATGAGAGGACGTCCAGGTGGAGCCGAGAGCTCCCTCAGTCCTGATGGCTCTTTTCCTGAATGAATTTGTATTCATACTGAAATAAAACAGAACAGGAAATAGCTTTAAGGAGGCGGAGACATGGAGGACGCCGTTTCCACTCTGACAGCGCCTTCAGAAACCAACAGAGTCTAATGATAAGTCAGCAGAGTTTTGGCAAAGCAGATTCACTGAAATGATTCCAATCTCTTACCAAGGCTAGCTGCCGTCCTATGTTTCCCATAGTTATCACCCCCGCAAAGAAGATGCAAGGTAACCAGGAGCGAATATACAGGAAGTCTGGAGAAGTATACCTGTGCAGAGAACAACAAGAGCAGCAATCATACGTTTTTAAAACAATAAAAACAGTTTGATTAAAGGTCAGAGACACAGAGGAAGGTCCAACTGAAGTCCTTTAAATGTTTAAACTGGATAAGAGCTAACAGACAGCTGTATGTGTCCACTGGTTTCCCTTCACTTACTGAAACACTCCGTTATAAACCAGGAGTTGGGTGGCCAGCGTTGCCAGCAGGGCGATGCTTACTCCGAGCCCGAAGCCGCTGCGGGAGCGGTCGAAAGTCCACCACAGGCCGATGGAGAGCGCCGCCAGAGTCAGAGACAGCTGGACGTTGTTGGCAAAGTCCACTTTCTGACAGAGGGAGGGGGGTCAAGGACCAGACAGTCAGCTAGAAACTGTATTTACACAAGCAGCTGCTACCCAGTTAGCCATCAGACTGTAGGAATACAAACAGTGGCTGCAGATAGAGCGAACATACCGGTATCACAAACCTGACAGCATTCACAGTTAAACTGATAATAAGGAGACAGTTTCACTCATGTTCCTCAACGTCTGTGTGTCCTAATGGTGTTTTAGAGGCAGTTTTAGTTATCTGAGTGATCAAAAATGGTTACATTTTGTGCCACATTAATGTAATAAATGTAATCAGCCCCAAAAAAAGACAAATCTTCCATCATAATGCTCTAAACTTTAAACATTGGAATAGGCACCGAGACAAAATACAATGTTTATTAGAGATTTAGGACGAGAAATAACAAATAATAACATTGATCTTCAGGTCTCCAGCTTTTAGATAATAATAACTTCTATGTGTTAAACCTGTTGACCTGCTGTCTCCCCGTAAAGAAGATAAACCCTGGTTTATTATNNNNTTGGGGGGGGGGGGTCTCACACAGACTGGTTGAGACTGAAGAGAACAGAAATGAAGGATACAGCGCTGGCGTGGTTGATGCCCACAAACACAGCGACGCAGCGCATCACACTGGACCACTCCCGCTTGAACTTGTGCGGCTCGCCGAGGCGGCTGTCGATGCACGGG